AAAAGAATGACACTGGATCTCTACCTCACAGTGTGCACAAAAATAAACTCAAGTGGATCAATGACCTAAATACAAGAACTAAACCATACAGTTCCTAAAAGAAAACTCAGGTATATATTTTCATGACCTTGGATTTTGCAATGGAGTTTTAGATATATTTCCAAAAGCATGAGAAACAAAAAGAAAATGGATAAATTCAGCTTCATCAAAATTAAAAATTTTTTGTCCATCAAAGGACATTATCAGCAGAGTTAAAAGACAATCCAGAGACTGGGAGAAAATATTTGCAAATCACATACTTGATAGGGAATTAATATCCAGAATGTATGAAGAGCTAAAATTCAACAATAACCAGATGCATAAACCAATTAGAAGATGGGCAAAGGACCTGAATAGACATTTCTCCAAAGAAAATATACAAATGTCCAATAAGCACATGAAGAGTTGCTCAATATACTTATCATTAGGGAAGCAATCAAAACCACAAAAAGATACCATCTACTGGGATAGCTATCATAAAAAAAAAATAAGTGTTGACAAGGATGTGGAGAAATTGGAAGCCTTTTACATTGCTCGTGGGAACGTAAAATGGTGCAGACACTGTGGGAAATAGTTTGGCAATGCCTCAAAAAGCTAAAGAGAATTATCATATGATCCAGCAATTTCCCTTCTAGGTATATACTCAAAAAAATTGAAAACAAGGACCTGAAGAGATCCCTAAGTGTTGCTGTTTGTTGCAGCCTTATTCACAATAGGTAAAAGCTAGACACAACCCAAATGTCCATCAGTGTAGATGGATAAACAAAAGATGATCTATCCATATGATGGACTATTATTCAGCCATAAAAAGAGTGAAATTCCTATAGAAGCTACAACGTGGAGGAAGCTTGAAAACATGCTACATGAAAGAAGCCAGATACAAAAGGATAAATGTGCTATGATTCCACTTATCTGAAATATCTAGAATTGGCAAATTCACAGAGACGGGAAGTAGAATCAGGGTTTTGGGGAGTTGCGGAGAGAAGGGAATGGGGAGTTATTGCTTGATGGCTACAGAGTTTGTGTTTGGGATAATGAAAAGGTTTTGGAAATGGATAG